GAGGAGGAGGAGAAGTGAAGGATGAGGTATGAGAAGGGAGTGGAGAGTGCGGCGGGGGAATGGTGGCGAGGGTCGGGGCAGTGGAGTTCAAGTATTTTACGGCGAAGTCGAGTACGAAGCAGATAAGAGCAGGTATTTTATCCAGTGGAAGAAAGGCTGCCATTCGGTGAACATGCATACCATACAACATATGAAGCCAGAAGACCACAATTGGCCAACTCCAGTCAAGAGCCTTACGAGTGCTGATGCTGTTCCTAACCGTCCTGAGGTCCCTGTGGTGTTGGGTCCACGTTTTGAAGAGACAGCACCCAGCGTCCACTCCTACCCCTCCCCAAGCTCCCTCCTCCCACCATCATCATCACCATCATCACCACCATCAGCATCATCATCACTATCACCAGCACCATCACCACCACCACCACCACTATCGTCGGCACCGTCACCATCGTCATTATCGTCATCATCATCATCATCGTCATCATAACCATCATCATCACCATCACAATCACCATCACCACCATAGTCATCATCGTTGCCGTCATCATCAACATCATCGCCATCAGCTTCGGCACACCCCTCACACGTTTCGTGGCACGATAAGAAGTTCCACCGAAGGCCCCTGTGACGGTGTCCGCATGCGTTCGCCCCACCCATTTCGGCACACCCCTCACACAGTCCGTGGCCCCACATGGAGCTTCATCGAAGGCCCCAGTGGCGGTGTCCACATGCGTCCGCGTCACCCATGCCGACATTCCTTTCACATGTTTGGTGGCCCAAGAGGGAGCTCCACCGAAGGCCCCAGTGGCGGTGTCCACATGCGTCCGCGCCCCCCATGCCGTCGCACCCCTCACACGCTTCGTGATCACAGGCGTCCGCGCCACCCATTTCGACACGCCCTTCACACGTCACATGGCCCCATAGGAAGCTCCACCGAATGCCCCAGTGACGGTGTCCACATGCGTCCGCCCCACCCATTTCCCATTTCGGCACACCCCTCGCACGTTTCGTGGCACACATAGGGGGCTCCACCGAAGGCCCTAGTGGCGGCGCCCACATGCGCCCGCGCCACCCATTTCGCCACATCCTTCACACCTTTGCGTGGCCCCATAAGGGGCTCCACCTGAGGCCCCAGTGGCGGTGTCCACAGGCGTCCTCGCCACCCATGTCGGCGCACCTTGTACACGTTCTGTGGCCCCAGAGGGAGCTCCACCGAAGGCCCCAGTGGCGGTGACCACGTGCGTCCGCGCCACCCATGTCGCCACATCCTTCACACCTTTGCGTGGCCCCATAAGGGGCTCCACCTGAGGCCCCAGTGGCGGTGTCCACAGGCGTCCTCGCCACCCATGTCGGCGCACCTTGTACACGTTCTGTGGCCCCAGAGGGAGCTCCACCGAAGGCCCCAGTGGCGGTGACCACGTGCGTCCGCGCCACCCATGTCGCCACATCCTTCACACCTTTGCGTGGCCCCATAAGGGGCTCCACCTGAGGCCCCAGTGGCGGTGTCCACAGGCGTCCTCGCCACCCATGTCGGCGCACCCGTCACACGTTTCTTGGCCACGGAGGGAGCTCCACCGAAGTCCCCAGCGGCTGTGACCACACGCGTCCGCCCCAACCCGTTCAGGCACACTTGTCACACGTGCCATAGGGAGCGCCACCGAAGGCCCCAGTGGCTGTGACCACATGCGTCCGCGCCACCCATTTCGGCACTCCCCTCACACGCTCCGTGGCCATATAGGGAGCTCCACTGAAGATGATACACACCACTGTGGTACTCACAACTGCATATGGTTGGTCCCTTTGCCAGGGTAATGTTTTGCATGTCTCGTGTCCTTAAACGGCGTAAGCAGCGCCAAGGGGGCTTCGGTGAAGCTCCGTATGCAGTTGGGCTCAAGCGAGTGTCCAAGTACGCCTGTAGATGCCGCGGCTTTTGCCGCGTGTTTCCTTGCTGGCGCATCTGCTCTGCGACGCCGCTTGGTAGCCCTGTGGCCTGCGCTCGACATTGCTTGCGTGCTGCTTGTTGAAATCGCTCAGCTTTGATACCATTCGCCGATAATTGTTCGATTTGACGCGGCCATAATCGCTTTGATGTCCCTGGTACGTTGTTCCATCTGCAAGACTTCTTGGGAGGTTCTCTGCGTCAGTGAACAGGATTGAATCGACAATGCCGCCCATGACGTCACGCAAGCACAGTAACCTTGGTGTGATGATTTGTATTGCCAGTGTCCTCGCAGATTTTGGATTGGGATCTGGCGTCCAGGCTCTTGTGCTGTTTTCGGATTCTCTCGAGCTCGTCAGTGAGCAGTGTTTGTTTTACGTCCCTTTGACACTCAAACTTTCTCCTTCTCGAGCTGCTCGAGTTCCCTTTGGGAGCGGGGACGCATCCTCAATGTTGGTGTACAGTTGGGACCCGCATCGTGATGCGCTTCGTGAGGGCACCTTGGGTTTCTTCGCTCGGCGTGCTGCGCGGTGACTCCTCGCGGCCATCAAAGATTGCTCTTGGCTTTCCCCCCCAACGTGGCCTTTCTCGCGCGCATGTGCATGGCTGGGTTTCTTGCGAGGGTACCTTGCGGCCCCGTCCGCACTCTACGTCCATGTTCGTTGCCATCGTCCTGGTTCCCCCCACGATGAGACAAGCTGACAAGCTCGCGGTCGTTCGATCCTCCACCTTTCTGGCCAGCTCAGCGGCACCCGTGGTTCTGCCAGGTCCTTGGCGCGACAGGAGAGCCCCATGGTGTTGGCAAGGGAGGGGCTGTGTCCCAGAACTGCTGGAGGAGGAGGAGGAGGGAGAACGGGAGGATGCATGAGTGAAAAGGGGGAGGAAGCAGATGGGGACGGAGGATTGATTGGGCCTGTTGGGCACACCAACCAGCAGCGATAACCAGCCAGGGCCGTGCACTTAATGAACCGCCTCGTAGGGAGAAGGAGATGAGGAGGATTGGTGTTGGGGCATTAGGGAGGGGAAACGCAGACGGGAAGCAGGGACTAGAGATGGATGGAAAAGGGGATTGGATCGACGGATAAGGGATGACGATGAACATGATTTTTGGTAGTGAACGGTGACGATTGTGCTGATGCTGATGGAGGCGATGACGATGTTGTTGATGATGATGATGATGATGATGATGATGATGATGCACATGATGAACATGATGATGAATCTGATGGTATTATTGATGTTGATGATGATATGGAGGCGGACCCTGACGATAATGATAGTGATGCTCATGGGGATGTTGTTGATGATGATGCCGATGTTGATACCGAAGATGATGCTGATGATGATGTTGCTGCTGATGACGATGCTGATGCTGATGCTGATGCTGATGCTGATGATGATGATGATAATGATGATGATGATGCAGATGATGACGGTGATGCTGTTGATGCTGGTGCTGGTGATGGTGGGAATGGTGATGGTGATTGTGGTGCTGATGAAGTTGCTTATGGTGCTGATGATGCTGTTGATGATGATGTTGATGGTGGCGGTTGCACTGGTGATGAAAACGATTGTTGCCATGACGATGGCGGAACCGCATCCTATGACATTGACGATAAATGGTGGTGCTGGTGATGACGATGGTGATGCTGATTCCCAATGGCGATGAGTTCGAGGTTGCGGATGATGACGATGCTATTGTTGATATTGATGATGTTAATTTTGGTAAAACGCTATGGTGTCGATATTGTTGATTATGATGCTGGTGATGATGATGATCATGATGATGCGGCTGGCGATGCTGCGGATTACGATGGTGATGATGGCGTTGATGCTAGTTTTGGTGAGGATACGGGGGAAGAGGTGTATCAGGGTGAGGAGGATGATGACGAACATGACTACGATAGTGATGGTGCTACCGACGATGACGACATCGATATCGACGATTATGACCATGTTGATGCAGGTGAATAAGATGCTGATGCTGATGGCGATGATGTTGAAACAATTGATACTGATGATGATGATGATGATGATGATGATGATGATGATGATGAACGTGATGATGATGATGATGATGATGATGATGGTGATGATGACGGTAATTTTGACGATGATGTCGATGGCGATGGTGATGGTCATGGTGTTGTTGTTGATCATGATGACGACGGTGATGATGCTGTTACTGCCGTCATGATGGTGGTGATGCGGATGCGGGTGTTGCTGTTGTTGGCGATCTTGTTGTTGCTGATGGCGATAAGTCTTGATTTTTATGATTGTGATCATGATGATCATGATTATAATCCTGTTGATGACGATTCCGGTGATAATGATGATGGCGGTGATGCTGACGGTGCTGATGTTGATACCTTTGATGATGATGTCGATGATGAGGATGATCATCATGATGATGTTGATGGTACTGACGACGATGATGATGATGATGATGATGATGATGATGATGATGATGATGAGGATGATGATACAGACCATGATGACGAGGATGATACTGTATCGAGGTGATGATTAGGGCGATGCTGTAATGATGATGCTGATGAGTATACTGATGATGACGCTGGTGATGATGACGACGGCGATTATGATGATAATGTTCATGACGATGACGATGCTGACGATGATGATGATGATGCCGATGCTGATGCTGATGCTGATGCTGATGCTGATGCTGATGCTGATGATGATGATGATGATGATGATGATGATGATGATGATGATGATGATGATGATGATGATGATGATGATGATGATGTGGTGTACCATTCATCCTTCTGCATTTCTCCTCGGTATCCCCCCGGGAGGAGGAACGGGATTCGGGAGGGATGAAGGGGTGATGAACAGGGGGAGTGCTGAGAAGGACGGAGAGGAGGAAGATGATGACGCACGAACAAGATGATGAGGAGGAGGGGTGCACGGACACACGGTGACGAAGGAGGAATGGTGAAACAGCAACGAGGCAAGGGTGGGGGGGGATTGGGTGGAGGGGGGGAGTATTCTCCTTCTTCCCCCTTCGTTTGTGATATCTCGCCTGGTTACCTTCCCGAAGGTGCTGGTCCTCGGCTCAGGAGGGCTCACCATCGGCCAGGCGGGCGAGTTCGACTATTCGGGCAGCCAGGCGGGTACACCCTCAAGCATGAGACCGAGGAGGAGGAGGACGAGGAGGAGGAGGGCATGTAAAGAGGAGCAGGAGATGGAGGAGGAGGACAGGGAGGAGGAGGAGGCGGAGGAGCAGGGGGGCGACGGTGGAGGCGGGGTCCGGAGAGGGAGGAGGGGAGGGGAGGGTGGTCGAGGGAGGGAGGATGACGACGGCGGGGGTGGGTGGGGTGGGGGGCGGGAGGAAGAGGGGGATGACGACGACGGCCGGGAGAGTACGGGGGGCAGGAGAGAAGGAGCAGGGAAGCATGCGAGGAGGAGGAGGAGGAGGAGGGAGGAGTGCGATCAGGGGTGGGAGGGAGGGAAAAGCGGACGGAGGGAGGGGCGTGGGGGGGGGTGGGGGAGTGGGCATACTCCGGCCGCTGGAGCAGCCGCGCCGCAGCGGGCCAGCATCACACGGGCTGTGGGCTGGAGCCTGCATTTCGCACTCCTGCTGGCAGGCAGGAGGAGGGCGGAGGACGAGGAGGCCGAGCAAGAGGGTGAGGGCGGATGAGAAGGAGCAGGAGACGAAGATGGGGCTCTAGGATTCAAGTTGGCGCAACGTCGAAAGGAGAAGAGGGGGGTGGAGGGAGGACGCATGCCGGAGGACGGGAGGAGGACAATGATGATGAGGGGGGTGGGAGGAGTCGTAAGGAGGCGGAAGCAGCGAAGGAGGAGGAGGCGGAGGAGGAGGAGGAGGAGGAGGAGGAGGAGGAGGAGGAGGAGGGGGACAGGAAGGAGGAGGTGGAGGGAGGGAGGAGGAGGAGGAGGAGGAGGAGGAGGAGGAGGAGGAGGAGGAGGAGGAGGAGGAGGAGGAGGAGGAGGAGGAGGAGGAGGAGGAGGAGGAGGAGGAGGAGGAGGAGGAGGAGGAGGAGGAGGAGGAGGAGGAGGAGGAGGAGGAGGAGGAGGAGGAGGAGGAGGAGGAGGAGGAGGAGGAGGAGGAGGAGGAGGAGGAGGAGGAGGAGCAGGAGCAGGAGCAGGAGCAGGAGCAGGAGCAGGAGCAGGAGCAGGAGGAGGGAAAGGGATGAGGATGAGGAGGAGAAGGAAGAGGAAGAGGAGGGAGAGGAGGAGGGGGAGGACAACAGCGCGGGCCTCGGCGCGAGCCCCCTCTCCCCCGGGCGGCCCTGAGGCTCAGAGACGGAGCGAGAGAGTGCGACGAGGCTCTAAGAGGGCTTCTTCGCGTCCCCCAGTCGACTCGAGACCCCAAAGATGGCTCCAGGTGGCCTGGCACTCGGCCCAGCACGCTGCCACGACTCTCAGATTGGCTCGGGATCATCTCGAGAAGCTGCATTCGCCAAAAAGGAAAGGGGCCAGGAGGCCTGAGGAACAGGCGAGCTCAGACAAACGAGTAACACAACAACTGCATCAAATGGTAACCATGACGTTTCGGAGCCCCATGCGGATTTCTCGGATTGGCGCTGGCGCTCGGCGCTAGGACTTGGCGCCGCCCCTGGTGCGCTTCCCACGCCAGGTAGGGGGGGTCCATCGCTGATCCAAGAAATCCGCGCGGACCTCAGAGAATTGATGTTTATGCAGTTGTTTGCTCCTCTCCAGTTGGCCTTGGGCGGGGGGGCCCTCATCGCCACGGCCGGACGCAGCTCGCAAAATGGGTGCGCTTGCTCCCCGGGAGTTGTCTGGTGGCCGATTTTGAGCTGCCGTCGCCTCACCTCAACCCGGTCCGACAAATGGAGCCCTGGTGTCAGAAAGCTCAGTGCACATCGCGTGGCTGGCCTGGGCGAGAGCTGGATTCTAGGCCTCCTGGAGGGGGTCGTGGGGTCTGGGGATCGCGCCGCGTCGCCGATGCATGGGCGATGCGGCTCGATGAGGGGCCCGACTTTCTCCACGCCGATGGCGCCGATGTCTCGCCGACGTCGCCGATGCATCGCCGATGCATCGGCGATGTATCGCAGATGCATCGCCGATGCTGCGCGCTCCTCCGACGCCACCTACACGGACCCCTTGTAGGAGGCCTCTGTGGATACAAACTGTGGCTAGGTGCCGTTCCAGCGCTCGGCCCGTCTGTGTGGCATTGCGGGCTGGGCTCCGGCACGTGTGCCCAGCGCGTGGCCGCCATGTGTTCCAAGTGCGAATCCAGCCTTTGGTCGGGCGTGTCCTTCTGCAGGGGGAAGTTTCAAGAGTAGTAGCACAATTATCCCAGTGCGACCCAACCTAGGAGTTGGAGCATTTAGGAAAGCACCATCTACATCTACACCGACAGCTACATTTACATCTACACCTGCATCTACATCTACATCAACATCAACAGCGAGACTCACATCTACATCTACACCTGCATCTACACATACATCTACATCTACATCTACACCTACATTTACGCCTACATTCACATCTACACCTACACCTATATCTACATATACATCTACACTTTCGCATTGGTTTTGCTTTTGTTTTGTATTGCCTTTGCTTTTGCTCTTGCCTTCGCTTTTGCCTTTGCGTTTGCTTTTGTTTTTACTATTGCATGTGCTTTGCTTTTGCTGTTGCTATGCTGCGCTCTGCTATGCTATGCTATGCTATGCTGAGCTAGGCTACGCTATGCTATGATATGCTATGCTACGCTATGCTATGCTTGGCTATGATATACTATGCTATGTGGTGCTAATGCTGCGCTGCGTTATGCTGCGCTGCGCTAAGCTAAGGTAAGCTAAGCTATGCTAAACTAAGCTGGGATAAGCTAAGGCAAGCTAGGCTAGCTTAAGCTAAGCTAAGCTAAGCTGAGATAAGCTAAGCCAAGCTAAGATGATATACGCCAAGCTAAGCTAAGCTAAGCTTGGCTAGGCTAGGCTAAGCTAAGCTAAGCTAAGCTAAGCTGAGATAAGTTAAGCTAAGCTAAGCTTAGCTTAGCTAAGCTGGGTGAACCCAGGGGACGCAACTGAGGGAACCGCGGGGCGGAAACTGGGGGAACCGCCCGGGGCTCTTCCCACTGCCCGGCCCTTTTAAGCCCAGAGAGTAAGAACCCGTCTAGGCAGAGCCTAGGTTGGGAACAAATAGTCTGGGTGCGATGTTTCGTGCTCTTTGGGCTTCTCCTGATTGTTTTGTGATCGTGCTGAAACTTTCCTTACAACATCCCGCCTGCAGGAGGACACGCCAGACCTAAATCTGGCCATGCGTGCTTCCAGCTTCCACGCGGAGGGGTTTGGAGGAACGCGCCGCATCGCCTGTGCATCGGCAATACGGCTTGACGGGGAGTCCGATGTTCTCTCAACCTCGACGGCTCGCGGCGGTGCAATCCTCTGGCCCCATGTGCTCGAGTGTTTTTTGGGGAGACGTGTCCCGAGGGAAGAGGGCCACGCTTTCCGCCCTCGGGTTATGATGTTCCAACCCACTCTAGCCTTGATCACGAGAAGGAATTTCGAGCACCAAGAAGTATCGAACCTAGAGTGTCTTCGCATGTCGGGCCCTGCGAGGCGATACTCGCTCTACACTGTTTCGATACTTTCATGGGTGATCGAATTTATTCTTGGATTGTGCTCCTGAAGTACGATAGGTGCAACATAACCCTCGGGCTTCTGGGGCCCTCCACGGGACCCAGGGCTGTCGCATGACTGTCGGAGCAAACAGTCCAGGCGAAGAGTTGGTCCTGAGGTCTGCGCCCGTCTCTCTCAGGGCCCGTCCCGCTCGTGTCGAAGGGTCTCCTTCTCTTCCGCTGCGCGTCGTGCGTTTCCCCTGGGCCCTGTGGGGCAGGAGCTCAGCGGGCCCCAGAAGCGGCAAGGCCGTTTTTTTCTCATCGTTTCCGAGCATTGTCTCTGGAAAACGGAAACGGTATAACAACAACGGCGACCGGAAACGGCAAGAAAAACACGGCTCTGGGATTGGAGCCAGAACCAGCCACGGAAAACAAACGGCGACAGAATTGGGACAACAAACGGCGACGGAACCGTCAACAAAAACGGAGAACGGAACCAGTAACAAAAACGGCTTTGGAGGTTCCAGGGCCCACTGAAGGGCAGGAGCTGCACGCCCTCGGCCAGGGTCGATGGATCGGTCGCTCGATCGACCCGTGGACTCTGCGATGCATCGGCCCGCTGGTGCCTCCGGGGGCACCCTCGCGGCCGCGGCCCGACTCGCCTCGGAGTTCCGGCCAGAGTGCACGCCTGGACGAGTTGGGGGGGGCGGTTGTTGATTGTCGGCGGCGAGCGTGGGGGGGAAGTGAGAAGGAGAAGGCCTTCTCTCAAGATTCGGAAGGCCCCGTGGCCTTCGGAGAAGTTTTCCAAGCCTTCCCCAACGACGAAAAACAAATTTCTCACAAGGCGCGAGGGCTACTGAGGAGTCCCGCCGCCTTATGAGAAGGTCGTCTCTTTCTTATTGCCCCCCCTCGCTCGCCGCCGAGACTGTGACAGAGCCAGGACCAGGATACATTCTTCCAAAGCGTTCCGGGACTCTCTCAAAACGTTCTGGGGCGTCCGCGGCGCCCGATGCATCCTCCCGCCAAGTCTCGGAGACCCCCCATTTATCCCAGTCGAATCGTTTTGAGTGTGACGACGACGACGAGCCCATACCGCCGAAGCCATGATCTTTTCGCGACGTGGACGAGGGCTCGATCCATTCCCTGCGACTGTCTTCTCAGAGGTTCTATGGAAGACTACCGCTCCCGGCGAGGGCCCCATGAGTCCGAACCACAGTCCAACGCTTCTGCTCACGTCGTGAGAGTGTCTGGGAACGGTGCTCGGGGGCGTCCAGGCCATCAAGGCATTGCGCGAGTCGGGCGTGTTCTCCATCGTGATCAACCCCAACATCGCGACCGTGCAGACGTCGTGGGGGTATGCCGACAGGCTGGCGGCGGGCGCGGGGGAGCTCGAGGTTTTCGGAGGCCTGCGAGGATTTTCGGTGCAGTCCAAGCGCACAGCACGGATGAGCAACTTGCCAAGGTTATCCCTGCATCCTTGCCCCGTCCGCTCATCTCGGGCAATTTTCGCAGGCCACCCCCGGTTGACATAATGCCAACATGGCCTTCCGACGCCCTGGCATCCTTCCTGCGCATCCTTACCATGTTTTTGTTCGACTCTACGTATTTGGCTTTTTGGGGCCTCTTGGTCAGGAACAAGCAATGCACGTGTACATGCGTCTTCGTGCGTTTCGATCGTCTTCTCGGCTGGAACGCGCGCCAGTCCAGGTCCGGCAATCGATTTTTGGTTGGAAGGAGGGAAGGGATCGAGGGGGAGGGCGAGGGGGAGGAGAGGAGCAGGGCAAGGGGCAGGGGGGAGAAACTGGGGGGATGACGCGGAGCATGAGCAGCCGCAGCCGGAGGGGAAGGGGGTGGTTTGGGAGATGCAGCATGATCTCTTTTTCTTTCTCTGGGAGGCCCTTCGTCGCCACGGCCAGGTCTGCCGTGAAGTTGTAGCCAGAGTGCACCCCAGGACGGGTTTGTCTAGTGGTCAATATTTCAGGGTGCTGGGGAAAGGGGGGAGGTTAAGAGGACTGGGAGAAGGTGGAGTCATGATGATGATGGTGCTGAGGAGGGGGAGGAGGAAAGGGAGGAGGAGGAGGAGGTGGTGGAGGAGGAGGAGGCGGAGGAGGAGGAGGAGGAGGAGGAGGAGGAGGAGGGAGGAGAGGACGTGGAGACAAGAGAACCAGCATTAGCAGGAGCGGGGAGGGGGGGGGAGAAGGAGGAGGAGGAGGAGGAGGAGCATTAGGTACAGGAGCATTAGCAGTAGACGCAGCAGCAGGAGCGCTAGGAGCAGCAAAGAGAAGGAAAGAGGGAGGGGCGGCCAGGAGGGGAGAGGAGGAGGAGGAGATGGAGGAGGATACAAGGAGCAAGATGAGGAAGAGGAGGAGAAGGAGGATTTGGACAAGGAGGCATTACACGGTGGTGATCTGAGGGTGTAGATGATCGTGACGCTGGCGGTGGTGGTTTTAGTTAAGATGGTGACGATTTCGGATAAAGAGACGACGGAGACGGAGACGACGACGACGACCCGAACAGCAACAACAGAAACGCGTCACGACAAGAACAGCACCATCACCAACAACGACAACACTTATATTAGGACTATTCGCTCCGACCTGCTCGCGTGCCATCCAACACGTATATCCCAAATCCTCCGGTACCCGCCTTCTCCGTCTTCGATCGTACCCCCTTGGGGGTATATCTTCTTGCTACGTGCATGTCGTGCAGCCCCTAAAGCAGGGGAGTACAGGACGGATGGAATTGGGTAGGAAAGGGATGGAACACGACACACATTAGCACAATGGAGGCGAAGAGCAGAAAACACATGGTAGAACCAGGCGGGCACATCGGGCGGGCAGATCCAGCGGGTGCGTCGGGAATGCGGGCGCAGGCGGCCAGGTCGCGCAGGCGGGTTGTTGAAGCGCGAGTCTTGCATGAAGCGCATGGAAGTCCCGAGCGACATCGCGATTCCCAAGTAAATCGTGAGAAAAGCCGCATCGACATCGTGTTTCTGAGGGTCGAGGGCGCGCCGTCTGAATAAATTGTGAGGAAGTTCCGCGCCAGAACGCGATTCCTGCATCAATTTTGCGGGAGCTTCGCGCGCGAACGCGATTTGAAATACAACGTGTGGAGAAATCATGCGCTTGCCGTGTTGATGCGGCCGGGGGGGGGCACAATATAATTTGAGCCTGGAGGGGAATTCCCTACGGGGCGTGAAAACGACCACAGCCACTGCTTTTCTTTTGTTGCCGCCTTCCAGCCCGCAGAAACAAAGCAGTGGTTGTGGTCATTCTCGTTGAGCTTGGCACCAGGGAAATGACCACAACCACTGCTTCGTTTTCGGCCGGCTGGCAGCCGGCGCAAACAAGAAGCAGTGGCTGTGGTCATTTTCCCGTCCCGCATTCCCAGAGTTCCTTTTTTCCCAAGTGCGACTCCTACGCGGGAGATCCCACACATCCCCTGACATCTGGCTGGTACCGCGCCTCCCCGCTTCCCGGGAGGCCCCCAAGACGCCCAATGACAGCCCAAGACGACCCGAAGGAGCTCCCCGAACGTAAAGAACGGCCCAACACGCTCCCGCGCAGCCCGAGATCCTTCCGACACGGCTCTCCAGGCCTCCAGGAAGCCTCCAGAACCTCCAGGGGGTCCAGAAGATCCCACACCCCTGAGGGGCTCGGCTAACAAAACCCGCGAGGCACAAACAAAAAACAGCGCCGAACAGATCCGAGGAATTGGAACACATGGAATTCCTACAATGTTCTTTTTTGTTCATCAAGTTTGGCCCCCGGTTTACTCTTGCACAACAGACCACAATTGAGATCCCCCTCACCTCCCAAAGAAGAACCCAGGAAGCCGTTGAGGGCCCCAAATCGTTGAATACCTATAAAGGAAACTAATGATTTCTGCGTTTCCGCACTTCCCCTTCTATACGATTCCGAGGCTCGCGCAGGGCCTCCAAGGGAGTCCCTGGACGCAAGAAGCGACCAAAATGAGGTTACATGAGTTAGCCTATCAAGCCTAGCTAGAACTTGAGCGCGCGCGAAGCGCGCGCGATGGTTTACTATATATATATATATATGTAAATCAATGGCGAAGGCCTTACGGCCGGTGCCGCCGACCCTGAAGGGGTACAACGACGACGACGCTGACGTGGGTCAGAGTCCTCATGGATGCTGTTTGGGGTCTCTTCGGGGTACTCTCGGAGGCCTCTGGTGGGCGGTTGTGGGGCCTCTTGGGAGCATCTTGGGCCTCTTGGCAGCCTTTTGGGAGCCTCCTCGGGCTTCCTGGGAGACCCATAGGCATGCTGTCAGAAACTCTTGTGGCGCCGGCGGCCTCTGGGTGGTCTGGTGGAGAACTCCTGGGGCCTTCTTCGGGCTTCCGGGGCTGCGCGGGGAGAGCGTATTTGGGTACCGACCCCCCCCGGGACCCCCTGGGGCCCCCGCCCCCGCCCCCCCGCGGGGAAGGGATCGAGGAGAAGGCTTCCCTTCGACTCTATTCCGACGTTGCTCAATTTCTCTTTGGATGGCGCGCTCGAGGAGGAGAGTCTGGACTAATGGAACGGAGGACGACGGAAACGACGACTCGAACGGAGAAGCCCGACTCGAACGGTGAAACCCCGCGTACAGGCCGACAGGGTCGCAGGAAGCTTTTCATTATGTAGCTTTATACACACCAAAAAAAGTACAGGCCCCGAGTGGGGCACTTCAATTGAAACAAGACGCACTGTGCACCGACGTGGTGGGGGCAGCAACCATCATTCTGTAAGAGTGAGAGCTCAACATAAGCATCTCTAACAACACCACCACCAAGAACAACAACAGCAGAAACAGCGGCCATACACTATATGCTGTTCGCTCTTAGATGCTCGCGTGCCAAGCCAACGCGTATAACCCAAACCCTCCAAACCCGCCTTTTTCGTCTTCGATCGCGCCCCCCTTGAAGCTTTATCTACCTTACTTGCAGTGCAGCCCCTAAAACTGGGGAGGCGAGGACGGATTGAGAGGGAGGAGGGGAAGGTACATCACGACACGACTGAGCAAGAGGGGGGAGGAGCAGAACCCACATGGTATAACCAGGCGGGCAGATCGGGCGGGCAGACCTCAGCGGGCGGGTCGGGAATGCGGGCCCAGGCGGCCAGGTCGAGCAGGCGGGTTGTTGAAGCGCGAGTCCGGCATGAAACCTGTGGAAGTGTCGAGCGGCACCGCGATTCCCAAGAAAATCGTGAGAATAAAAACCGCAGCGAGGCGTGTTTCTGAGAGTCGAGGGCGCGCCGTCTGAATAAACTGAGGAAGTTCCGCGCGAGAACGCGATTATGATATATTGCGAGGAAGTCTCGCGTGAGAGTATACCTTCGGAACATACTGTGAGGAAAGATGAAGTGGGAGCCGTTGTTGTTGTTGTTGTTGTTGTTGTTGTTGTTGTTGTTGTAGCTTGGGATCAACAGTCTAATTTGAGCAGGAATATTTTCGTTGAAAAATCAGGGTGCGAGCCCCGAGGACAACATATCAAATGCACAAAACAATGTGCACCACTTGGGGGATGATCCGGCGGGTTGCGGAAGCGTGCGTCCTGAATGAATCACTGGGGAGTTCCAGGCGATACTGCGAATCCCAAAAGAAATCATGGGAACAACCGAGCGAGAACATGGTTCCTGAGAGTCGAGAGCGCGGCGGTAGAATATTGCGAAGGGTTTTACGGCTGGTGCCGCCGACCCTGAAGACAACGAGGATGAACGGGAGGGTTGGGGGTGCAGGGGGAGGAGGAGGAGTGGCAGGAGGAGATGGAAGGGGTGCAGGAGGTGGATGAGGGAGGAGGAGGGGGGGAAAGGATGAGGAGGAGAAACAGAGGGGGGGGGAGGAGGAGGCAGAGGATAGCAGGAGGAGGGGGAGCAGAGGGGGTCGGGCAGGAGGAGGAGGGAGGAGGAGGAGGAGGAGGAGGAGGAGGATTAGGAGGAAGAAGCGCTGTGGCTTTCTTGGCTCTTTTGGGAGAACCTTGTTTGCATTGTTTCGGGGGTTCGAGGGGGAAACGTATCTGGGCGGCGTTTCCCCTGAGACCTTCCCCGGGAACCCTCCCTGGGACTCCTATCCTCTTGGGGAAAGATGTGCACGGAAGGGGCTTCCAATCGACTGCACTAACGACGTTGTTCAATTTCGCTGAAAATCGTCCTCAACGACGTCTAGGAGGCTTCTTGGGTCGTCTTGGGGCCATCCTGGCCGCGTTGGGCCGATCTTTGAGCGACGCGAGGCTTTTGTGGGCAATCTTGGGGGCCATCTTCGGCGTTCTGGGTTCTTTTTGGGGCTGTTCGATATGTCGGGGCAGCCCGGGGGACACGAAACTGGGTGGCGATCCCCCCTGGACCACCTCCCCCGCGGGGAAGGGATCAAA